CATGCTTTGCATGCTCCATTGGAACCTCAGCAGCTCCTACCAGGACTCTGGCTAGCCAATCACAGCTCTCTAGAGGGGTTTCAAACACAAAAAGAGCTGTGATTGGTCCATAATGGTGGGCCAATCATAGTGCTCTATCTGCTTAGTGAACAAATCACAGAGCTTTATCCGCTTTGTGGGCCAATCAGGGCACTCTATAGAGCTATGGACCCCACGTGACTCTCAGTTAGTGGACGCCATTTTGGCATGCAAAAAAGGTAAACAAACACGGATGTAACCATGAACATGAACGGGATCCGCTTGGATTTTACTTCGTCGGAGTTTACTTCACACTTTAAAACAGAAGAAATCATTTTATATAGTCAGAAATTAAATAGACTAAACATCTCCGACCCTTACCGTGCCCCTGGGATACTTTTTAAAAATGCCAGAAGCTGTCGGAGCGGACTTCTTACCGGCACAAGACCGGGGAACCCCTTGGGATTCCCCCGGCCGGAGGAGCTGGGGAGAGGTCTGGGACTCTCGGCTCTACTGCCCGCTCCGACGCCAGAAGCTGTCGGAGCGGACTTCTTACCGGCACAACACCGGACCTGACCGGGGAACCCCTTGGGATTTACCCGGAGGAGCTGGCTCCGGCGGCTGGGGAGAGGGAAGTCACGCTACTGCCCCCGCAACCAGACTCCGGATACGCGGATGAAAATGGATGGATGGACGGACAAATAACAGATTTACACGTAAGTAGTCTCGGTGAGACAGATAATAGCAATCCAAAGTGCTTTTTATGTGCGATCTGACAATTGATCAACCATTGCTTAAAAATTAAAGACAGCTTAGCCGGTTAATTGCTGTCATCATAAAACACGGAAACGGCAGCACGCAGAACTCACGAGGCAACGTTTTACGTGATGTTTACTTGTTGCTGTGAGTAATAAGACAGAAAAAGCCACGCCAAAATAAGTTTAGGAAGCCCACTAAGAATCATAATAAAAGCATTTAAAATAAACACCATACACAGTTGAGGAAACGTTGGTTTAAGTACCTGATATGAAGCGGTCGCTGCATAAGCGAAAACCTTTACTCTCGGGTTCCCACAGCTTCATTTTAGCCCGGTCACTAGCGCGTTTTATTATAATGATCCAACGTTTGCGGTGCTCCGGATCTTGGGGAATCCTGTAGATGACTCATTCCTTATGTCGTCCGCGTCTGTTCTGCATCCTGGGGCACAACAGGAATCTACCATATTTCTCGTTTGAGTTTTCTGACAATAACAAATAGTCCAGCTGCCGACTTCTGCCTGCCAAATGGCGCCGTTTCGATTTGAACTGTTGCATGCCGGGAAACGTGACGTCAACTCCCGGAGCTCTATATGCCTGGTGGGTGGGATGATGCAACAGAGTGAAACAAGAGTATGTCACATTCATTGTCCAGTGGAATGCGGAGATCATTTGAAAGACAACGGTAGAACCCGCCCCACAACCGAGAGCCATCGATGGAGCATGGCCAGACTAAATAATACATTTATTTAGTCTGGCTTGCCAGGCTAGTTGCTCATGGAATCTAGCTTAAAAATGCAGATAAGATAGCTAGCACATGTTATCTTCAACTCTTGTTTTTTTCTCTCAGAAGTACAATGTGTATGATAGCACCCCCTTGTGTTCACAAACCAAACACAGGTCACTATGTTTGTTTTTTTGGCAGAGTTGTACCAGTTTATCCTTAACAAGATCTAGTTCAAAATTCATTTGATCAGTATAAAAATGAATTTAGTCAATGTTCATAGCTCATCATCAAAATACTTGTAGATAAATCCAGGCTCTGTTGAGATAAATCTGTGTCTGTGTCAATCCCACACGTGTTTAATAGTCCACTCATTTAATAGCCCTTTGTGACCATGGCTACAGAAGTTTGACTCTTGCAAAAAAAAATAGTTTGGCCCTTTCAGGTAACATTGACAGTTAAATAAGATTCACAGTTCTGCAGGCTGTTTGGAGCCTTTGAGTTCAGATTTGCTGAATCACTGAGTGCGTTTACATGCAGCCAGTAACCCTTTTAAAACCCGAATATTCACAATAACCCGGTTCTGCAGGTCCTTGTAAACACCGCCAAAAACCCGGATATGCTCATAACCCGGTTTTTAAAAACCCGGTTACTACACCTGGGGTAACCCTTTTCTAACGCGAATGTTTGGTCGTGTAAACGCATATCGGGATATCCCCATCAAAGCGTGTGTTCTGCACATGCTCTGTTCGCAAGGAATCTTGGTCTTTTGAGTAGCGGGACGTCTTGTATGCGCCAGAACACCAGAAGTAAACAACAAGTTGGGAGCAAAATAGCGAGTCGCGGCACAGCACCACACTTTTGGAGTGACAAAGAAACTAAAGCACAAACAAACGCGGTCGCTATCTCTTCCGAACTGGGAAACATGTTGTTGTTTTCACGGATACCGGAACAATAAGAACAGGAAATGAGGTATATTGCGTCTGGACGTAGTCCATACGTCCTGACGCTACCCCAACGTCCGCATTTAAATCGGGTTATGCACGTTAGGTGTAACTCTTTCTATTTATTGTAAACGGGCTTGTAAACGGGTTATTCTGATCAACTCAAGCCGGGCGTACACTGTGCGACTTTTTCACTTTTTTGAGCCGATTTTCCAGTCGTGCGAGAAGCCACGACATCGGGGCGAGTTTTGCGCCGAGCGGTCGTGTAGTGTACAGGGGGTTACGAGAGGCGATTAACACCACGTGACCAGCTGCCGATCAGCAGTCGTGAGGTCGCAGGGACTTCTGGTGTGTTTAATATTTCGCTCGTCCCTCGTGAGGGTATCGCAGTGTTGAAGCGGCGCTGCGAGCAGCTACGATCCAAAAAGCATCAAAACCGCTCACGGCGCATGCGCGCGCAATCCTGCATCAACGCCGGCCGGTCGCTCGCTATTTCCCTAATAACACACGCTGTTCGTTTTTGTTTCTACACGTTTTTTTTACTCACAAAGATAGTCAAGAAAGCGTGTTTGTCGTGTTCATGTCAAATTAAACTGATCACAAAACACAGATTTACTCTCTTTATTTCGTTTTCCTCATCCAAACCCATAAATCCCTGTGTGTCCTCCTGCAGCACTCCCGAAGGACAACAGGCAAGACAAAAAAGTCTGACGTGTTGAGTAAAAACTGCTATTTTTAGCACATTTTTAGGGCCGACGTGTTGCTACCAGACGTAAAGTGTGAGCAGTCAGGTCGCATGCGAGAACTGGGTCGTGCAGTGTGAGCACACGACTCGTGAGATCTGCTCTGTGAGGAAGTCGTACAGTTTGAGCTGAAGCTGAACGCTGCGAGTGAAAAAGTCGCACAGTGTACGCCCAGCTTCAGAAACCCGAATACCGACCTTAACGCGATCATAACCCGGATATTGGCTGCATGTAAACGTAGTCACTGAAGTGCACTCCTGTGTATGTTAATTTTATACAACTTGCTCATGACAGCCCACATGCAAATGACAGCACTTTTGTTAATATTAGCATTTTACTTAAAAGCTACAGTTCACATATTATTGGGTTAATGTTTTAACAACCGTTAGCATTTTACCATATACCCTGCTGGTAGCACACTAGATGGAGTAAGGTAATGTTAAGAAACATGGTAGTCAGTGATCCACAACCAGCTTATTGGCTCAAAATACCTTATCTAGTTATAAACTGATACGCACGTACTGGCATGCCCCTTTACATTTCTTCATGAATGTTAATTAATGTTATTATTACGGCAGCACGGTGGTTAGCACTGTACTGTTACAGGGTCTTTCTGTGTGGAGTTTGCATGTTCTCCCCGTGTTTGCGTGGGTTCTCTCCAAAGACATGCAGCTTGTGGGGATGGGTTAATTGGTTAATCCAAATTGCCCATAGCTGTGAGTGTAAATGGATGTCTGTCCCTTGTGTTGGCCCTGTGACAGACTGGCAACCTGTCCAGGATGTACCCTGCCTCTTGCCCTATGACAGCTCGGATAGGTTCCAGCGCCCACACGCGACCCTTAGAAGGATAAGTGGAAGCGAATAGATGGATGGATGGAATTTTATTAATATCTTTAAAATTAAACATTAAAGAAAGGGGCTGGTTGAGCTTTAGAAACTTTTGGTTTCCAAATGAAAGCGGCACAAACGATAATTTTAGCAGCACAAGCCAGCACAAACGTAGCACAATTGATTTACACAAGTTTTGTTTGATTCCATTAATGTGGGGGGGCTGGTTGACCTCTGATGACCTCCAGATTTTTTTTATTAATATCTTGAAAACGATAGCAGCACAAACGACAATTTTAGCAGCACAAACGTAAAACAGTTGATTGACACCAGTTTTGTTTGATTCCATTAATGTGGGGGGGCTGGTTGACCTCTGATGACCTCCAGAAAATTTTATTAATATCTTTAAAACGATAGTAGCACAAACGAAAATTTTTGCAGCACAAACGTAGCACAATGGTTTGATACCACTTTTGTTGGATTTGAAGAAGGTGGGGGGGCTGGTTGACCTTTTGACCTTTACATTTTCATTAATATCTTCAAGACAGAAGCAGCACAAACGACAATTTTAGCAGCACAAACCAGCACAAACGTAGAACAGTTGATTGACACCAGTTTTGTTTGATTCCATTAATGTGGGGGGGCTGGTTGACCTCTGATGACCTCTAGAAATTTTTATTAATATCTTTAAAACGATAGTAGCACAAACGAAAATTTTTGCAGCACAAACCAGCACAAACGTAGCACAAAGGTTTGATACCACTTTTGTTGGATTTGAAGAAGGTGGGGGGGCCAACTTCACTCAGGTTAAACAGTACCCCCGCCACAGTAGAAGGGTAAAGTACTGCAGCTTTGGGGCCCCCTAGTGGCTTGGGGGCCCTATTCAACTGCTTAGGTTGCACATAGGAAGAAATGGCCAAGCTCAGGATCACATGGTAACACACACTGGTATCTGCAGTCTAATGAAGATAGCGGTTATGTGCTTTACCTTTGCACGGCTGTTGCGTTGTGTGTTGTTGTTGTTTAGGGTGGTCAGCTCGCTGTCTGTGTCCTCATCTGATGCTACACTGTCATAATCGTGCTGATCATCATCGAGGCCAAGGTCCAGAGTGTCTGACAGAAGGAATGCACACATGAGACTCCGTGTTCTTGGCAGAACTCATATCTTCTGTTACTGCTGAGTTGGACTACAAGACAATCTTATACTGACATTTAATGGCTGCCACATTCAGTGGGGGCTGGCTGTAGATGGACACTTCCTGAGCGTTTTAAAACCATCAACCCAGTGAGTTAGGGATGGGGTGGACCTAAGCATAAGTCCCTAAAGCCTAGCCTGTACTTGTCAGTCACACACACAAATGAACAGAGACGTTTTCCTTCCAGGCTTTTCCATCGTCCAGAGATGTCCCCTTCCCCCAAGACACCAGGTGGCATCACTCTTCTACGGGCGGTCCTGGCATCATTGCAGCAGTGTTAGTCAGCGAGTCACCACAACAATAGACATCGAGGGTTACTATCATTAGGGCTGCCACGATCAGTCGACTCATCACGAGGATGTCGACAAACAAACTAGTCTACCACTAATTTAATAGTCAACGAGTTGTTTATGTTGTAAACATTTTTTTACAAATTAATGATTTATTCCATCCCGCTACGTTACAGTGTTACTCAAAGATCTCCTCTTGAACGTACGAGTTTGCTCCGTGCACACCTCAGCAAGCTAACGTCCTGACCGAGGCCGTTGTGAGCGTGTTGGTCACCAGCCTCCTGTCCATGGCCGGTATCAAGGTTTCAGAGATGATCAAGCAGCTCAACCCAGGTTACCATGACAACTACCTACCAGGGTGATCTTTTTGCGTCCTGCCTTTTCCTGAGTTAAGATTGGAAGACGAAGCGCTTCAACCTCGCCACCATGCCTCGTGTGAACACAAGTCATGTTTGGTTTTAGGTTCCTACCTCCACCTGACTGTAGCATTTGTATTAACAGGTTACAAAGTTAAAGTTGTTGCTAAGCTATCATCTTGCCTTTATTGTCAGATGGCACATTGCTGATCACACTTCAGACTAGAAGCTAATGATGGTATATTAGAGCATCCTGGTGCAGTAAGCTAAACCTTTATGCATGACGCGGTTAGTTGACTACTAATATAGTGGTTTGTGGCAGCTCTAATAATCGCCCTGGGTGACTTCATTATTCATGTGAACAATATTAATTATACTTTCTCTAAATACTTGTGTGAAAGAGGAATCAGCAGCCAGGCTCCTGCATCAGACCGTGGGACAGAGTGTTTATGTCTGCTTGACAGACACGTGTTGACATGAAAGGTTATGTTGTGTCCATTGGATGGTGAAAAATAGACCCTTGTATATGTTACACACTTTTTATCCTGCCTTGAACGCTTTGGACTCCATCAACACATTAACTTCCCAACCTCCTGGATCTGGTCTGCTGCTCTGGTATCGCTCCCACTGACTGTCAACCTGTCTGTCCAAAATGATTATTCCAGCACTATTTCACTCCACAGAATCAGAAATATACATGCTGACACCTTTTCTTCTGACATCAACAATCTTCCCAGTCCCAAAGCCAACTGCTCCCTGATGACTTGGTTTCCAACTACAACAGCAACCTCTCCATGCCCCTCTGAAAACCACATCTGCCTCATTCACCCGCTCATCACCATGTTTCACCCTGCTCTCCGTCAACTCAAAGCCCGAGGACGTCAACTGGAACCACTGTACAGTAGAAGTTGGATTTTCCACACAAGGATGATCTCTCACCCACTAAATCTGCTTATTATTTTGGTTTCATTCACTCTAATCCAACATAATTGAAAAACCCTTTTTTCTCTCGAACAATATCACTAAACCTGCTGACTCCCTCCCCCTCTATCTGCCATCCACTAACTTCTGTAACTCCTTCATGTCCATTGTTTCAAAAACCATCCACCAACATCTAGCTTCTCATGGTGCTTCTGTCTCGAGGGTAGACACCACTCTTCCCTCTCCACAGGCCATTTAAATGTTGTTGTGCTTTAACTTGTTTCACTTTTTGATCAACAAAAAAAAGTAAAGCATTTTTAAAATATAAAAATGCAATTTTATGGAATTTCAAGCACCCAAAAGAAATCTCAGTGCTAATCTGAGTAGCCCAGTCCTCCCAGTCTCACCAGTTGGGCTGCTGAGTCCTTTTCCTTGCTGCCTCCTTTTGGCGTCACTCAGGATGTCGATGATGAGTGTCGCAAACTCTCGAGCGTTGAAACGGGCCAGCTTCTGACGACCCTGAGACCAGAACAAAACTGAGTTGATGTTATATTTAAATACACACACACACACACACACACACACACACACACACACACACACACACACACACACTCACACACTTTCACACATTCTCACACACACACACACACACACACGCACACGAAACACGTTGGTTTTCCTTGCCAGCTCTGAGACAAAAATGGGTGCGCTCCCTCAAAGCGTATGTGTGTGTGTGTGTGCGTGTGTGTGTGTGTGGGTACAGTTTGCCAGACTAAACTAGGAAAGCTCTGCAGCAACCAGGGTCCCACCCCCTAGCCAATCAGCTGACAGTTATGATGCAAGCCCGACTTAACCCTTGGAAACGCTGTTGGAAAAGTAATTTAAGTGGATCGATTTACCCCATGTTTGGAATAGGCCATAGGGAGCCTAAGCCACGCCCACCTACCTCTGCACCACGGGTCCCCGGAAGAACGCTTGTCATGTTCCATGGATTTCACATATGATGTCCGTGAATTTTAAAGACGCTTTTTGATACCAAGAAAGCATTTATTTTGAAACAGAAACACTATTTTAGGTTTTGTGTGAAAATAAGTCCAGAACTACAAATGCGCTTCACGAAAGTGATGTCATCAAACCAGACACGGAGAAAACTTAGGGAAAATGGCTGTAAGTTCAGCAAACTTCCCACAGGAGGAAAAAACCACCATAAATCTGGTCAAGTGGTAAGTAGCAGCTACGCTAGGGGGAATAGATTATGTGGTCACGTCACATATGCGACATGCCGTTATCTAATCTGTGGTCAGGCTAATTAAAAACTTTTACAAGCTGATTAATCTCAAAGTATGTGACTGGCGTGGTCGAAACACCCATCACTTTTCAAACTGCAGCACAACATTTGTGTGATCCAGGGCGTAAGGCAAAGCGGGTTGGAAAATAGCGTTTTTAGTCCCGTTGACTTGTATTAATTTTTCGTTCTTCTGGCGACCCGTGAGCTGACCGGAAAGGGAGCAGACTTTGGTTCCCAATATCTGTAAAAAATACAGACAAGCAAAAATCGTTTACCTGGTTCCTCGTAGCAGAGTACTCTGGGTTGACTGGTAGGAAAGGGACAGCACTGCGTTCTGTTACCAGCATGCTGTGGTTCTGTGTCGTCAACCACACTGAAGACAACAAATAAACAAAGATTGTGTGTTTGAGCAGCACTTTACATTTTCACTTTGTAGAAGATCTTACAAAGTAGAAACTTTAGTCTAACCTGCATCGTTCTCTCTGCGATCTACCTCGTCATAAACATCCATCGCTAATTCCTCAAACAATCGGTTGTTGAGCTGCAGCAGAAAAAGAAATTAAGTAAAGACAGGTTCAGATCTCTGTGTTGTCTAGAGGTCCAACGGGATTTCCACCAGCAGGTCTGGTACAGTGCAGAATGTATTATGGTGGGCCGGCGTAATCCAGTATGGGTCTGCAATGGAATTTGGCAGGATCCAGACCAGGTTTTTTCAGGATTGGCTGCACAACAGCATGTTAAAAGTCATGAGGAACCACAGCCGAGGTCAAGCTACCATTAATAATATCCAGCACATATTGCCCAATCAACGGAAATACCTCCTTCAGGAGACGAGGTGGAACAACATCATCTGGAGAGCCCGATAGCTTCATGGTAGCAATAGCTTTTTCCAGACAAGACAGAGAAATGGGTTGAAAACTATGAAATAAATCATGAGTGGGAATGACAGTAACAGGAACATTGGAAGTAGGAGGAATCTGAGCTCTGATTTTATCAACCTTATCTAAAAAAAACTGAAGGATTTGGTTGCACAAGCCAGCAGAAACAGAGGGAAATAGTGTTTTAACAGGTGAGAGCATAGCGTTCATGGTTTTATACAAAACAGCTTGATTATTAGAATTAGCAGAAACAATCCCTGCAAAGAAACAATTTCTAGCGCCTCAAACAGCTTTTTGATACTGCAACCACGCTTCTCTCATGGCTTCAAAGGAGACCACAAGCCCGTCTTTACTCCATTTACGCTCCAGTCTTCTGCAGTTTTGCCTGATTGAACGAGTGCACTCGTTCAGCCAAGGGTCAGGCTTATTCTTGGTCAGTCTGGATTTTAATGGAGCTACAGAATCCATAGCAGCTAGACAGGATGAATTAAAAAGATGCAAGTAACTATCAACATCAGTAAAATCGCAGGTGGCTGATGTCAGAGCAAAAACATTTACAAAATCTCCAGCAGTAGAGGGAGTAATAACTCGAGAGAGACGAGTGTGGACATGGTCAGTACGAGAAGAAGAAGCCACATCCAGGTTAAACAGAACTGGTGAATGATCAGAGAAAGTAGCAGGGAGAATAGCCAAGTCACTGCTACTCAGCGCATGAGACAGAACCAGGTCCAGTGTGTGAACATGGCCACGCGTGGGCCCATTCACGAGTTGCGACAGGCCAAACGAATCGACAAGATCCAAAAAGTCCTTCACCATAGGTCTGTCGGGACAACAGACATGAATATTAAAATCCCCCAACAGGAGGAGACGGTCATATTTACAGAAGATTTGAGCTAGAAACGCCGCAAATTCATCTAAAAAGTCCTTATTATATTGTGGAGGACGGTAAATAAGTGCGCACAGCATGGGAGGCGATTGACCCAGTTCAAAGGCGCTTAGCTCAAAAGTTAGTGGAGTTGAAGAGGGGACTGTGAGGTTACAGATAAGACCCGATTTGAATAAAGTCAACAGACCGCCTCCACGGCGCTGCGCTCTTGGAGTGTTAATGAAGGAGCAGCCAGGAGGAAGGACCTCCGCGAGTGTGGAGGACTCACCCGGGCGAATCCAAGATTCAGTGGCGCATAAAACGTCCAAGCTGTTGTAGTTGAAGAAATCTTTCAGGATAAAAGTTTTATTCCCAATGGATCTAGCGTTGATCAAAGCGAAGCGAGTCAGCGGCAGAACCGGCGGTGGGGAAGCACCCGCCCCAGCGAACCTCATCACATGCCGCAGATTGCCGGGGTTTACTCCTTGCTGGCACCGATGGCAAAACGAGGAGCGGGGAGGCGATCCAAAGAAGGTCACAGGGACAACAGGAACCAGGCACCTCTCTCTAGCATCCGATGAACTCAGAAAGCGCCGCTCAATTCCCCAAGCGCAGAACTTGGACCTGACCAGGCGACCTCCACGTTTCCCATGCCGGCGATGCCGCTTCCGTATTCGTGGAGGACGAGGTAAGCGACACAGGCAGGCTGGTATGTCAGTCAGAAATGAGTGGGTTGAGCCACTTTGTTCCCGAGCAAACAGAGATATGCTCACAGTTGATCGGATTTGTAAAAGTGTAAGTCTATCATACACCAGGAGTGAGTTTATGTTAAAACATAAACAGAGCAGAATCATAAAAAAAATCATAATAACAAGAGGAGACGGACGGCGTGCCTGACATGCTGGCGCCATCTTGGTCTCAGTCCCAAGATATTATTGATCTTTTGCTATTTGATCTAAGATGAAACCAGGTCTTTTTGGTAGTCCAGTGAAACCACACCTTAGTAAAAATTAGACAGGGGCAAAAATATAGTTTATAAAAATCAATGTAATATATTTCTACTACTAATGATGACACAGAACACATTATGATGAATGATGGTTGAAACAAGATAACTGAGACAATGAATGAAATGATGGAATGTGAGCTTAGATGTTATGTAGCAAACCTGATTAAGTGTCTTAGAAACTTGTGATGTCTGGGTTGTAAAATCAGTCTGACTGTGTGGTTTAACAAGCTACCATTAATAAAACCAGCCCACGCCAGCTGTGCAGAATCTACAAACTCTCTGTGATCCAGGGGTTGGAGAAGTCCGTACGGGCAGGCTGCCGATGGAGTTGACTTCTGTGGTATTCAGGGCCTGATCTGAGATACCTTCCGGGTGAATGCTGGTGGTCAGATGAAGTTTGCATCTGATGCAGCTTTGCAGGGTTGCAAAGAAGGTTTGACCTTGAGGCCAAAGGAGTATGGTTCAACCCTTACCTGCTTGGCTTGGCCATGCTGCGCAGGTGGCAGAACTGGAGTGTCAGGAAGTGAAGTCTCTTTTATTAACTATTGTTTATTAATTTGGACAAATCGGAATTTGATAAGTTAAAGAGGAGTTTAAGTGTTATCAAAGACCTCAAACACTACTCCTTTCTCAAACACATAGAGAGGTTATCTCCCTTAATGTGGAGTAAAAATGTCAAACATTACTCTGCATTACTGTAGAGCATTCAACATTATTAAAAACACTTTAGATCTAAAACATATTGTAGGTACCACAGAATCTGATTGTGATAACTTGTAAAGTTAGGGAGTCATTTTATGAGCCATAAAATATAACTTTATCAAAATGATTTGATAAAGAGTTTTGTGTCTTCACAGGCGTCTTGTGATACGCAACAGGATAAGGTAAGGACACTGTTCAAGTTTATAGAAACTCATATCGACACCTCCAGTGTCAGATTGTCATGGCCTGCATGAAGAACAATAACTTTTGGCCATTTGATGAAATGCAGGCCTTGAGCTATGCTACATACCACCCCCACCACACACCCCCCACACCCCCCTCACACACACCCTCCAATGAATCAGGGTCATGGACAGAAGACCACGAGGCTTTGGACAAATGTAGAAGCCCTAGTGAAATCCACAGGCAGTGACCATGATGAGAAGCAAGCCGGACCATAGAGAACCATAGCAATGCATGAAGCATAGCATGAGGAGGGTGTCTATACAGGGAGTGCAGAATTATTAGGCAAGTTGTATTTTTGAGGAATAATTTTATTAATGAACAACAACCATGTTCTCAGTGAACCCAAACAACTCATTAATATCAAAGCTGAATGTTTTTGGAAGTAGTTTTAGTTTGTTTTTAGTTTTAGCTATTTTAGGGGGATATCTGTGTGTGCAGGTGACTATTACTGTGCATAATTATTAGGCAACTTAACAAAAAACAAATATATACCCATTTCAATTATTTATTTTTACCAGTGAAACCAGTATAACATCTCCACATTCACAAATATACATTTCTGACATTCAAAAACAATACAAAAACAAATCAGCGACCAATATAGCCACCTTTCTTTGCAAGGACTCTCAAAAGCCTGCCATCCATGGATTCTGTCAGTGTTTTGATCTGTTCACCATCAACATTGCGTGCAGCAGCAACCACAGCCTCCCAGACACTGTTCAGAGAGGTGTGCCGTTTTCCCTCCTTGTAAATCTCACATTTGATGATGGACCACAGGTTCTCAATGGGATTCAGATCAGGTGAACAAGGAGGCCATGTCATTAGTTTTTCTTCTTTTATACCCTTTCTTGCCAGCCACGCTGTGGAGTACTTGGACGCGTGTGATGGAGCATTGTCCTGCATGAAAATCATGTTTTTCTTGAAGGATGCAGACTTCTTCCTGTACCACTGCTTGAAGAAGGTGTCTTCCAGAAACTGGCAGTAGGACTGGGAGTTGAGCTTGACTCCATCCTCAACCCGAAAAGGCCCCACAAGCTCATCTTTGATGATACCAGCCCAAACCAGTACTCCACCTCCACCTTGCTGGCATCTGAGTCGGACTGGAGCTCTCTGCCCTTTACCAATCCAGCCACGGGCCCAACCATCTGGCCCATCAAGACTCACTCTCATTTCATCAGTCCATAAAACCTTAGAAAAATCAGTCGAGATATTTCTTGGCCCAGTCTTGACGTTTCAGCTTGTGTGTCTTGTTCAGTGGTGGTCGTCTTTCAGCCTTTCTTACCTTGGCCATGTCTCTGAGTATTGCACACCTTGTGCTTTTGGGCACTCCAGTGATGTTGCAGCTCTGAAATATGGCCAAACTGGTGGCAAGTGGCATCTTGGCAGCTGCACGCTTGACTTTTCTCAGTTCATGGGCAGTTATTTTGCTCCTTGGTTTGTCCACACGCTTCTTGCAACCCTGTTGACTATTTTGAATGAAACGCTTGATTGTTCGATGATCACGCTTCAGAAGCTTTGCAATTTTAAGACTACTGCATCGCTCTGCAAGATATCTCACTATTTTTGACCTTTCTGAGCCAGTCAAGTCCTTCTTTTGACCCATTTTGCCAAAGGAAAGGAAGTTGCCTAATAATTATGCACACCTGATATAGGGTGTTGATGTCATTAGACCACACCCATTACAGAGATGCACATCACCTAATATGCTTAATTGGTAGTAGCCTATACACTCTCAGAGTAAGACAACATGCATGAAGAGGATGATGTGGACAAAATACTCATTTGCCTAATAATTCTGCACTCCCTGTAGAAGCGCTAACGTCCTGACTAAAGTCAGACAG